ACAAATCCAAGTTAAGCTAAGCAAATCTTGACTTTCTGCATTAAGAGATTAATTTATTTCATCGTTCTTCCTTTTAGCTGTTTGTTGCCTTAGCAAGGGTAGTGACTAATCCAGTTCCAACTTTTTGATTTGGAGATTGCATTGGCAAGCCATAGTTGTTAAGCTTGGTCCCTTCAGCATTTCGAGAAATTCAGGAAGCAGATGGTATGTTGTGCAAATACAACTGTTGGACTACTGGAATGGCTTAGCTTGGCAACCTATTTTTATCTCCTGGGTCTGTGACAGGGGTTTTCTCATGACCCAGACTGACACATATAAATTTCTTTGGCTGTTTGTCATAGTGGCAAACACTTGCCAGCCCCAACACCTGAGGGCCACAAAATAGGACAATGCTTTAACAAAGCAATGGCAAAATGTTTCTCATTAAAAAGAATGTCGGATATTGAATTGATATAATTTATATACTTGGCTTACGACTTGAGCCCAAAATCTCTATTGCTAAACAAGACAGCTGTTAAGTGAATTTTGCCCCATTTTGCATCCAGTTTTGGTCACCACACTACAAAAAAGAGAAAAGAAGGTCTGGTGGGGACATGATAGCTGTATTCCAGTATTTGAGAGGTTGAGATACTACTGGTTTAAGGTAGGATATAGGTAGCCTCAATTTGCGACCACAATTGAGCCCCAAATCTCTATTGCTAAGCAAGACAGCTGTTAAATGAATTTTGACCCACTTTACAACCTTTCTTGATACAGTTGTTAAGTGAATCTCTGCATTTGTTAAGTTAGCAACATACGGTTGTTAAGTGAAGCAGGTTTCCCCATTGACTTTGCTTGTCCGAAGGTCACCCAAGAGAATTGCATGACCCTGGGACACTGCAACCATCATAAATATGAGTCAATTGCCAAGTGACTGAATTTTGATCACATGACCATGGAGAAGCTGCCACAATTGTAAGTGTGAAAAAGCCAATTTTTCAGTGCTGTTATAACTTTGTACAGCCACTACAAAATGCTGTGGATATAGTGTAGACCAATGGAACTCACCTTGCTTTTAGTCTGATCGGGCTATGTTTGGCTCTGGGTTAAAAGAAATAGGGGACCCCAAGTACTTGCCCAATTTTCTGTCGAACATGTCCCGGAATTTCTCCATCAGGTTGTCTTCCCAATCGCTTTCTGTGATGCTGTGGATTCCGGTGAAATCAATCCCCAATAGCTTAAACCACTCAAGTCCCAGCAGACTTGGCCGGCCCCGGTCGACCACGGTTAAAGGCAGCATTCTGGAGTACTTTCGGAAGCTCACTCGGAATTCACCTATGCCAATGACGGGAATCTTGTTCCCTTGATAATCCTTTAGGATTATCTTTGTTTGCTCAGCTGTCCTTTTGTCAGGTTGGGAATTAGACTTTAGATGGTGTCCCAAGACACCATTGACAGAAGAGATCCGGAATCCACTTCCATCCGACATTGTTTACCTTCTATCGTGACTTGAACGTGGACTTTTCTGGCACTTGCCGTGCTGGAGTGGCCCACTGGCACAGTCTGGTGCATTTCTCTCCTTGCTGTGGTCGACTCGTTGTTCTGTCATTTCCAGCTGAATTGGCTCCAGTGGTTCTCAGGTTGATTTCCTTGGTTCCTTGGGTGTGTGCCTTGTCTTGGCCTTCTGTTGCTTGGCTTGAAGGCTCAGCATGATCTCGCGATGTGTCCTCTCTGCTCTCATTGTTGGCAGATGGCATCATGGAAATGGCATTCCGATTGGAGGTGATTTCCCTCACAACCCACACACCAAAATTCCTTCTGCTTCCCCTCTAAGCTTTTTTGGCATCTTTCCGAACGTGGTTGGTTCACTTCCTCATCATCGCCCGATCCCAACTTAGACTTGAGTCCTCATGGTGAATGGCGGCAGCATCCTTTTGTGGGGGTTGCAGTGTCTTATTCATCTTCCTCATGGCAGCGGAGGATTTTTGGGATGCTTCAATGGCTGATGCTTCTTTGATCGCCTCCTTTAGCGTTATTTTAGGTTTTGTAAGGAGGCAGCTTTGTAGTGTCAGGTCCCCAGGACTACGTGATCTTTCATCACCTCATCCACATTCAGGAACTCGCATGCTCCGGCAATGTCTCTCAGGCTCGCAATGAAGTCATTGATGCTCTCTCCAGTAAAATTCGTGCTTCTTAATTAGGCTGGATACCGGTGGGGTATAATGGGCCCAGGCCATCGTTTTTACATCTCTTGGTGCTGCGAGAGCTTTAGCCATTTTGAAACGGTGGGGCCACAATGCGTGAGGAAGATGGCTCGTTTCCTCTGTTCCGTAATATCCATCAGGTCGCTGCTTTCCAGGAACATCTGGAATTGGTTGACATAGGATTCCCAGTCCTATGGGAACGGTGTGTCGAACGGTGTGGGTGGCATATTGTTCCCGGCCATGTTAAGTTCTTTGTCCGGTTACTTTAGTATTTTAGTATTTTTAGTATTTATTTGATTTGTCAAGATACAGGTATAAGAATAAATATAGTTTTGAATACATGAGATAGATACTTATAATAAAAACAAAAACAATAGGACAGGGACGGTAGGCACATTGGTGCGCTTATGCACGCCCCCTACAGGCCTCTTAGGAAGTGGGTGAGGTCAATAGTAGACAGTCTAAGGTTAAAGTTTTTGGGTTTTGGGGAAGAAACCATGTGCTCATGATCCCGCTTTTCTCAGAATCACATCTTCATTGCCAGTGTTAAATTGTGGGCGAGAGATAACGCAGGAGGCTCCGACTGCTTAGCTTCTTTATTGCATTGTTCAGAACAACTCGCAATAGCCATGGCAGCTCCTTTTACAACGGAGCTGCTCCCAGCTACAATCAGTGACAGCTCTTTAAATTCCTGCTGCCGTGGACCAACCAATCAGAGGTGCATATGTATATATTTAACAGACACTGCAGGGAGGGACCTTCTTTGTAAGATGCCAGAGTGAATTGAGGCACATAAAACTAGTTCCAGCATCTATACGTTGGCACTAAAAAACCAGTCCCCAATAATTACTATGGCTCATAATTTTGACTGTTTGCCAAGCATTCCACCAGCATTTCATATCGAGAGCTATTTTCCCATCCATGATTGTTTGTGTGAGAAAGGCAGGAATTGCAGGTTTCTTCTTTTAAATTCTAAGAAATCAAGTAAGAGTAGTAAATAAGCTTTGTGGCTGATGCCCTGAGGTTTTGGTGTTCCATTCTTAATTTAAGTCAACAATGTTAGAATTTCTGTTGATTCTCAAGTGTTCAAAAAAAGCAAGGGAAGAAGGATGCTCCTGAAATTTACTGAAGTCCTTTAAATTTCTGGAGAATCCAGAAAATCCCAAATTAGGTTCTTAATGAACAGGAGTTGAATTGATAGGAAAGTTCTCCCTTCAAGGAATTAAACCAAAATATTATAGTTGTATTATAAGCAATTTTTGGCCGTGCAAATTTCTGTGGACTACACTCTTATTAAGTATAGATATTCCTCAAATTAAGCTTGCTATTTCATTTATAACTCCTGATGGTTAAAAAGCCACCATATGACTTTGCCTGATGTTATGACCTTTTTAATGGTAGTCATTAAGTGAACTTGGCAGTTTTAAAGTGAACACTGTGGTCATTAAGCAAACACCAGGATCATTAATTGAACTCATTTTGATCACTTTGGAGCATTTTTTTTTGCCAGAAACTGAAGTAAACTTTGATTTCTATGAAAACTGTAAATTGCTGCCATTTAACCAGGGGGCATTTCAAATATCTGTTAATGAAAGCCAGTTTCTGATAGCCAAAAATGCAGTCTTTTGACCCCCAAAGGAGGAAGGCAGCAAATATCGGAACTTCAAATTTTTAAGTTCCTTTTTCAGGGTCTGTCATAACTTTGAACAATTGCTAAGCGACCGGTTTTATGTCAAGGACTACCTACAATAAGAAGATGTTTGGATTTTGCCCCTCAATTGCTCCCCTGCAAACTGTGTCCTGCAAATCTGATCAGCTTGTTTGCCCATCTATCTGCCTTCTGTAACCTCTTAACTTCAGGTTGGCTGGGGGATTCTGGGAATTGAAATCCAATAATCTTCAAGTTGCCTAAGAACCCGAGTATCAAAGAAAAGAGGGAGCATGATGGCTCAGTGGTCACAGCCATTGAGCTTGTCAGCTGGAAAGCTAACAGTCTGGGATTGTGACCCGAGTGTTGCTTGATGGAGTGAGCTCCTGTTCCTTGCTCCAGCTCCCTATCCACCTTGCATTACAAAAGCATGCAAATGCGAGTAGATAAATAGGTACCACTTCAGTGGGAAGATAACAGTGTTTCATATGCCTCGTATAGCCATGCTGGCCACATGAACATGGTAACGTCTTTGGACAATGCTGGCTCCCTTGGCTAAGAAACAGAGATGAGCATTGCCCCCCGGCATCAGACATGACTGGAAAGGGAAACTCTACCTTTATCAAAGAAAAATAAAATAGAAATAAAACCCTACTTCTGGGTTTTAACTAGAAATGAAGATCAGGGAAGAAAAAGGAGATATTTTCATTCTCTCCTTAGTTCCTTGATCAGTAAACATCAGTTTATTTGGTGACCATTTGAAGTTACAACGGCACTGAAAAAAGTGACAGGATCATTTTTCACACTTATGACCACTGCAGCATCCCCCATAGTTACATGATAAAAATTCAGATATTTGGCAACTGGACTCATGACGGTTCCAATGCCCTGAGGTCCTGTGATCACTTTTTCCGAATTTCTGACAAGCAAAATCAACGGGGAAGCTGGATTCACTTAACTACCGTTGTAACTAAGTTAACAACTGCATCGATTCACTTAACAAATGTGATAAGACAAGTCGTAAAATGGGGCAAAACTTGCTTAACGAATGTTTCAGCAACAGAAATTTGGGGCTCAATGGTGATCTTAAGTCAAGGACTACCTGTACTGAAAGTGTCCAATCAGAAACCCTCCAAATGTCTATAGCTTCCAGCATTCTGTACTGACCTCACTTCTGTACAGGTAGTCCTTGACTTATGACCACAACTGGGCCCAGAATTTATGTGGCTGGGTGAAAAATTTGTTAAGCGAGTTTTGCCCTGTTTTATGATGTCTTGTCACACTTTGTAAGTGAATCGCTGCAGTTGTTAATTTAGTAGCACGGTGGTTAAGCGAATCTGGCCTCCTCGTAGACTTCGCTTGTCGGAATGTCGCAAAAGGGGATCGGGAGACCCTGGATGTTGCAACCATCATAAATATGAACCAGAGGGGCCAACCATCCAAATGCAAATCGTGAGACTACAGGATGCTACCAGGGTCACCAGTGAGAAAAGGGCCCTGTCACTTTTTTCAGTGTCCTCGTAACTTCAAATGGTCATTAAATGAACTGCTGTAAGTGGGGGACGACATGTATTCAGGGTCCTTAGATGTGTGAAGACAGAGCGGTTGAGCAAAATGTGACAAGACATCATAAAACAGGGCAAAACTCGCTTAACAAATTTTTCAACCAGCCACATAAATTCTGGGCCCAGAATTCCGGTTAGACCGGAAGCCTCCAAAGTCCCTTCCAACTCTGCCATTCCATTAGTTACACGTGATTCAAGACTGGGGCGCTGGCCTTCCAATCCCAAAGCCCGACCCTCTGTGGGTCAACTCATTCTGCCTCATGGGCTGGCTGTGCAGAGGAGTTCCTCCTAGTATGAAAAAAACAGGCAAACCAAAATCACCAACAGGCAAGTCCCTGGGGAGATGGTCCAATGCCTTTTGTCTGAAGGTGTGTCCAATTTCTCTGCCTACCCAGAGCTTCCTTCTCCCTGGGAGGAGCCAGCCTATAATAAAAGCCGTGTTTCCTAAGACTGAAAGACACTCCTGCACCAAAGCAGTTCTTTCCAAGACTTCAACGCCAGAAAGAGCCAAGTGGAACAGGTAAGCAACGGGGAGAAACCCTACCAGTGGTAGAGTTTCAACCCAAGAGAAGCCGGGCATTTTTTGACCTTGATGTGAAGTTCCTCACAAATTTGTGGCTCTCTTCTATCTCCAGCAAGGAACCTGCTTTGCTGTCAAGGACTTCACGGAACATCCTTGTTGCAAGATAGATTGGGAAACATAGATGGGCTGATTCCAGCTAATTTTTGGAAGCAGATGTGTAATATAGTGGTTCAGATGTGGGATTAGGAACAGAGAAAGCCAGGTTTGAGTTTATTCTCAGCCTTCACAGCTCACTATATGACTTTGGGCTAGCCTAGCCACCCTTTGTCAGCCCAGAACCCAAGGTAGTGTAGTGGTGAAGGTAAGAATACGGAGATGCAGACTGTAGGTCCTTCTCAGTCGTAGAAGCTCAGTGAATGACAAGACACCAGTCCCTCCCTTTTGACCCAACCTATATTCCAGGTTGTGGTTATATAGGAAAACAGGTGAAAGGAGCACCACTCCCACAACATAGCTCCTGCAAGAAAGCCAGGTTATAAATCACATCTATAATCAGCCAACCAATAGGTACAACTGCCCTTATGCAGGAGGTTGGTCTGGGGAGCCTGTGGCATCTCCCATCAGATTAGCAGCCTTTGGAGGTTTCCCAATCTCCATTGGGTAAGGCTGCTTCTGTGCATGATAAGCTTTACTGGTGACCCATGAGCAGCGTCAGAATTAGGTGTAAGCTATGCAAACGTCCGTCTAGAGCAGCGTTCCCCAGTCTTTCCAGCTAGGCAGCCAGGGATGGGAGTAGGGGTGAGTGGCTGGTGCAGGCACACAGCTTCATTTGTGCTAGAGGCTCGCGTGCGCCTTCCACTCACCAAATGGGCTTTTGTGCACAAGTGCAACCAGCCTCTGCTCACACGAATGGAGTTTGCACATGTGCACGTGCTTACTGCCCACAGGAGTAGAGCTTCACATGTGTGCGCACTGGCCCATTTCTCCCGTGGCCCAGTTCTGAACAGGTCACAGCCCAGTAGTGGGCTGCAGCCTGGGAGGGCGGGGTTGGTGACCCCTGGTCTACATCTTTCCATGTTAAGAGAGCTCTCAAAATGTCGCTGTATTTAAAGTCCTGCAGTTTTACTATGATGTCATAGGCAGTGATGGGATTCAATTTTTTTTACTACCAGTTCTGTGGGCATGGCTTGGTGGGTGTGGCAGGGGAAGGATACTACAAAATCCCCATTCCCTCCCCACCCCAGGAACTTGCTTTCCAGCTCCGTTCTCCTGCGCAGGGCAACCAAAGAAGACCCAGCCGATCAGCTGGGACTCAATGGGAGGCAGAGAATAGATGGGAACGGGGTCAGTCAGAGGTGGTATTTGCTGGTTCTCCGAACTACTCAAAATTTCCACTACTGGTTCTCCAGAACTGGTCAGAACCCGCTGAATACCACCTCTGCATGTAGGGAAGCTTCCATAAACCAAGCCTTCCTTCCCTCCCCCCTCAAATGTCTGCAGAAAGGCCTATTTAAACCCATCACTGGAGGTCGTAGAACCCCTGTTGACAGTTTAAAACAGGCCATGTTTCTGCAGGCATTTGTATCTTCTGTTTGGAGAGGCTGTTCCCCACCCACCAAGATTTATTATGCATCCTGGCATCAGGCTTGCCAACGTCAGCTCTTAGGTAGCATTATTCACTCTTTCCAATTGCCAAATGCAGTTTCTGCAGTTTCCTTTAGCTCAGGGATTTATCATACTCAGATCCGTCCTGCCAACCAGATATACAAACAGGATCCCTCAACATGTAGAGGGCAACCTTTCCCAACCCGTAGTCTTGCAGTACAGCTAGTCCTCAAGTTGCAACCATTTGTTTAGTGACTATTCAAAGTTACAACAGCACTGAAAAAAGTGGCTTATGATCATTTTCCCCACTGCAGCACCTCCACGATCACATGATCAAAATTCAGGCACTTGGCTATTAACTCATATTTATGAGAGTTGGTTGCAGTGTCTCAGGTCATGTGATCACCTTTTGCGATATTCTGACAAGCAAACTCAGAAGCCAATTTGCCTACAGCTTAAAATCCAATACAGGTAGTCCTTGACTTACAACCACAACTAAGCCCACAATTTATGTTGCTAAGCAAGACCGTTGTTTTGCCCAGTCTTGTAATGTTTCTTGCCACCATTGTTAAGTGAATCAGTGCAGATGTTAAACTAGTAACGTGGTTACTAGCTGATTCACTTAACAACCAGGTTACTAGCTTAACAACTGTAGTGATTCACATAGCAGCAGTGGCAAGGAAAGTCACAAAATTGGGCAAAACTCACTTAACAACCGTTGTGCTTAGCAATGGAAATTTGGGGCTCCATTGTGGTCATAAGTCGAGGACCAATTGTGTTGGATTTTAACCTTTAGGCAAATTGGAATAGAAGATGTTGAGAGAGTGACGTGTTGAAAAAAAACTACCTCCTTTGAAATGGAATTACTTAATTAACCTTGAGCATAGTTACCATGCAAGGTATTGTTTGGGCAGGTAAGTAGGAGGGAGAAACTCATGAATTTCTAGATCCCAGAAGGCCAGCCTCCTCGGTTGTCCTGCTTTAGTAACCTGCCCGGAGCTTTTTTTTTTAAAAAAATAGAATATAGAACATAAAATCATAGGGCTGGAAGGGACCTCAAAGATCTTCTAGTCCAACCCCCTACTCGAGGCCATACAAACTACGTGTGGGAGGAAAAGATTGGCTCCGTAGTCTATTAACAATGTGCTTCCTCTGTGCAGGTCCAATGGGAAGTGTTGGTTTTCCATTGAAATTATCAGCATGTATCCTGATCTTCCTGATCCTGGAAAATTTCTGTGTTGCTATCCCAACTAGTAAGTTTTCTACCATGTGTCACCTTCCTACAAGGTGGATTTGCAATTTCAACCTCCTTAATGGCCAGTTTTAGAAAATTATCTGGACTCCGTCATCCGCAAAGGAGAGAAATTTGGTATCAGTCGGTCCTAGTTGTAAATTAAGAGTTTACATTTACCAAAGCTAGACTACAGGTAGTCCTTGACTTATGACCACAATTGAACCCCCAAATTTCTGTTGCTAAACAAGACAGCTCTTTGCCCTATTTTACAACCTCTTTTGCAACAGCTGTTAAGCGATCACTGCAGTTGTTAAGTTAAGTAATGTTAAGTTGTAAAGTGAATCTGGCCCCCCATTGACTCTGCTTGTCAGAAGGTCGCAAAAGGGGATCACATGACCTTGGGACAGTGCAACCATCATAAGTACATGCCAGTTGCCAAGTATCTGAAGTTTAATAACATGACCATGGGGATGCTGAAATGGTTGTAAATGAGAAAAGGGGTCATAAGTCATGTTTTAGTGCCATTGTAACTTTGAAGGGTTACTAAACAAATGGTTGTAAGTCAAAGACCACCTGTACTTTGAAGGAGTCAGTCCTTCAAAGGATCCTGTGTGTTGTATATAGACATTTGCATACTCGTAATACAATGTTCCGATTGGACAAGCACTGCCACCTAGCGATTGGTGGTTAACAACGGAATATGATTGGCCGCCTAAATGGCGGGAGGTTTAAAATGATGCCATTGGTTGCGAGCCGTGAGCAGTCGCTATAAAAGAGGCTGCTGCGGCTCGAGTTTAGTTGAAGTTACTGACAGTTAAATAAAGAGCTGAACTCAACTCCGGTCTCGAGTCTACTTTGTTCTGGCGATAGAACACTGGCGATGAAGGTGGAATCGAGGGGACAAAGACCGTAAGCACGTGGCAACGAAAGCCGAGAAATCAACGAGATGGCCGGCAACAACTTGCCACCCGCACCATTTAACCCAGCTGAAGAAGACTGGGAATCATATATTGACAGGTTCCTGATGTTCCTGGAAAGCAATGAACTACAAGGAATCACTGACCAGAGGAAGAGAGCTGTATTCCTGACGCATTGCGGACTGACCATTTTTAAGATGGTGAAAGCATTGGCGAGACCCTATGATGTCAAACAGATGGCATGGCCGGACCTGAACTGGATGCGGAGAGCCCATTACGTGCCCGTTCTGTCCAACCTCATTCGAAGACATGAGTTTTATAAACGGGATCAACGAGAAGGCGAGAGTATTGGAGGTTTCATAGCGGCACTAAGGGACATTGGAGGAGCATGCGAATTCCTCAACATGGACGAAGCCATGAGGGATTGCATGGTCCTCGGATTGAGAGACACTACCCTGCAGAGCAAACTACTAAATCGACCCAACATCACTGTAAATGAAGCCATCGCTGAGGCAACCGCAGCTGAGTCAGCGAAAAAATCTGCGGCGAAAATGAAACAAATGATTACGGCCAACAGCCCAAGCCAGAGCAGAGAAAAGAAAGCGGAAGGTACCCAGAAACACACTACCACAACCACCCACCATGAAGACATCAAGTCATCAACCAACTCTGAGGAAGAAGATGAAGAGGTACACAGGCTCCAGTCAGAATGGAACCGGTGAGAAAAAAGAGGAAGGAAACCTGAATTTCAGTGTGCCGGATGCGGAAGAAATCACCCTTGTTCTAAATGCTGTTTTTTGGACGCCATCTGCAGACACTGCGAAAAACGGGGGCACATTGCAAGGGTCTGCCAAAACAAAAAGAGCTATAGTCCAAAAAGATGAGCCAGCCCCCCCCCCCCCCCCCCAGAACTAAGGAGAAGCAAACTGGAAGTCATTGGAGCCGGGAAAATAGAAGTCAGCAGCTCAACAAGAAGGAAGAAACACACCAGACAATTATCATTGGGCATGCTGGAGTGACTGATGCTAAGAAGGTTTGAATAAACATCAACATAGAGGGAGAGCCATGCGAAATGGAAGTGGACTCCAGCTCATACCTGTCAATGTATCATGGAACACAATAAAATGCTTGATACCAGAAATACGATGAAAAGAACTCGAAGAGCAAAGCCTGACGTTAAAAGACTACCAAGGAAACAAGTTTCCGGTAGTTGGGTTGGGACATTTCAAGGTAGAATTCAAGAAACACACTGAAATTCTTCCATTGACCATTGTTGACTGAGACCGCCCCAGCCTGCTTGGTTTAGAATGGTTCGCGCCTTTGGGGATCGAAGTGACAGGAATCAACAGTGTCACTGAGACAGACTGGGAAGAAAGCCTGATGAAGGAGTTCCAGGACATACTTGATGGGACGCTAGGCAAGTACCGTGGGACCCCTATCTCATTTAGCCTAAACCCGAACATAGCCCCCATCCGGCTAAAGGCCAGACACGTCCCTTTTGCGTTAAAGCCAAAAATCAATGAGCAGCAATCGATGAAATCGATGAACAAACTCATCGCACAAGGGGTGCTAGAGCCAATCAACCATGCAAGATGGGAAACCCCGATTGTGACTCCCATGAAACCAGATGGGTCCGTGTGCATCTGTGGTGACTATAAGGCCACCCTGAACCACGCATTACAGCAGAGCGCATACCCTGTTCCAGCAGCCCAGCACCTCTTGCACTCGTTGTGGGGAGGAAAAGTTTTTGCAAAGCTCGATCTCATGCGGGCTTATCAACAATTGCCGGTTGATCCCGAGACGGCAGAGGCACAAACTATTGTAGCACATAGGGGGGCTTTTAAATGCAACAGATTGCAATTTGGTGTCAGCGTAGCCCCTGGTGTTTTCCAAAGCCTGATGGAACGCCTCCTCCAAGTACTAAAAGGGGTGGTTCCCTATTTTGATGATGTATTGATATCCGCCAGAAATAAAAAACAACTAAAGGACTGGCTAAGGGCAGTCTTGCAAAAGTTTAGAGAAGCAGGACTCAAGGTCAAAAAAGAAAAATGCCAACTTCCCACAAAGCAGGTCGAGTTCCTAGGACATCTTATTGATGAAGCAGGAATCCACCCCACCGAAAAAAAATACGAGCGATAAAAGAAGCACCCAGACCCAAAAACAAAACAGACTTGCAGGCATTCTTAGGACTCATTAATTTTTATAATGTCTTTTTGCTGCAGAAGGCAACAATAGTGGAACCACTGCATAGACTACTCGATAAAAAAGCCATCTGGAAATGGGGCTGACAAGAAGAAGCTGGATTCCAAAGAATTAAGGACTTAATAACATCCAGATCTGTATTAATCCAGTACAGCGACACGCTACCACTGACTGTCACCTGTGACGCTTCACCATTCGGCGTAGGCACAATACTTAGCCACACACTACCTGATGGCAGAGAGGCACCGATCGCCTTTTATTCCAAAATGCTGTCAAAAGCTGAAAGAAACTACAGCCAACTGGACAGAGAAGCCTTGGCCTCTATCTCGGGGGTAAGACATTTTCACGAATATCTGTATGGTAGGACATTTTCTTTAATTACTGACCACAAGCCACCGCTAGGAATCCTGGCAGGAGACAGGGCCACCCCCAACATCCTGTCTCCAAGGATGACAAGATGGTTGGAATTTCTTGCAGCCTACAATTACAAGCTCGTCTATTGACCAGGAAAAATCATACCCCACACCGATGCATTGAGCCGCTCACCCCTACCAGACCACGATGATGACCCAGCTCCCACCACACACACCCTGCAAATTGAAACAATATCGAACCTGCCCATCACCGCATCGGACATCGCAAGGGAAACCGCAAAAGATGCACTAATGGTCCGACTCCTGAACTGGGTGGGAAGGGGCTGGCCGGAAAACGACAAAAACGAGACTTTTAAACCGTTCAAAACCTGGCAAACTGAGCTGTCAATTGAAAAAGGATGCATACTGTGGGGGGATAGGGTTGTTGTTCCAAGAATATTACAAGAAGATATGCTGAACATGTTACATGAGGGACACCCGGGCATGGTAAAAATGAAGTCCCCGGCCAGAAGCTACGTCTGGTGGCCAGGAATAGACAAAGACATTGAACCTGGATAAGAACGTGTAATAAATGCCAGTTGTCCAGACCTACCCCCACTTTAGCACCGGTCCTTGACTGGGAGACACCCAGAGGCCCCTGGTCAAGGATCCACATAGACTTCACCGGACCCATGAAGGGATATACATTTTTAATCATCGTCAATGCCTACTCAAACTGGTTGGAGGTCAGCATCATAAATTCTGAAGCCGTCACTAAACAACTAAAGAAACTCTTCCCACTCATGGATTACCAGACATGTTAGTCTCGGACAATGGCCCACAGTTCACAGCTTTAGCTTTTGAACAGTTCCTCACAGAACAAGGCATACGACATGCCCTGACAGCGCCAGCTCATCTGGTGGTGAACGGATGAGCGGAACGCATGGTTCGATACACGAAAGAAGCATTAGAAAAACTTGAAGGTGGTGACATGCAAGACAAAATAAATACAATGCTTACAATTCAACATATAACACCGTGCACATCAACAAACAAGAGCCCAGCTGAACTTTTAATGGGCAGAAAATTACGCACATATTTGGACAGACTACACCCCACCTACAACCCGAAGAAGCCACCAAACTCCTCCAGTAAGTACCGCACGTTTATACCAGGCGACCTGGTATGTGCGAAAAATCTTACTGGAGACCCATTGTGGTTACTGGCCATGATAACACAAATAACAGGGCCCCGGTCATACTGATTAGAAACGACGGATGGCAGAACCTGGAAAAGGCACATAGACCAACTACGATCTCGATACCTCGAACGCAACACCGACACACCCCGAAACATAGAGCAAACTCATACAAAACAACCAATAAGTAATAATAAAACCAGAGGGGGGGGGGGGAAACCCTTAAATAATAAAGAAAAGGAAGACCTCCCTTTTAACACAATTAAAAACAGGCCACCAACCAGCAACAGAAAGCCCAAGAACAAATAAAAACTACTTACCAATAGGCGAGTTCAAAAGAAGAGAGCTGGAGGAGAACCAGGGAAGAAGCAGCCGAGCCGACTCGACCTGCCTGAGTATGCCAGAAGGGAGCGACAACGGCTGATCAACCTACCTAACAAAGTACGGCGGGAGCGGCATGACTGGCTCATCCTTCCAGGAGGTTCCAGAGAGAAGGACAGGAGAGGCGTCGATCCCGTCCGAACCAGGTGAAGACACCACAGAGACCGAGCTGCGCAGGTCAAGTAGGACCCACAAAAGCCCCGCCTATTTCTGTGACTACATCACGTAAGGTTGGACCATACCAAGAGGGGAGGGGTGTTTATATAGACATTTGCATACTCGTAATACAACATTCCGATTGGACAAGCACTGCCGCCTAGAGATTGGTGGTTAACAACAGAATATGATTGGCCGCCTAAACGGTGGGAGGTTTAAAATGATGCCATTGGTTGCAAGCCGCAAGCAGCCGCTATAAAAGAGGCTGCCGCAGCTCGAGTTTAGTTGAAGTTACTGACAGTTAAATAAAGAGCTGAACTCAACTCCGGTCTCGAGTCTACTTTGTTCTGGCGATAGAACACTGTGGATAGAAATGTGCAGCATTCTTGAATTCCTTCTTTTTATGGTAATCCGTGAACTGAAAATCTAAACGAGAACAATGGTTCTTTTTTTTTTTTGAGGAAAATTTTATTTTAAGCATCTGTATTTTATCTTGGGGAAAGAAGTTTTCTCAATATCTTCTATTCTTATATGTGAGGGGTTGGGAAAGTTGGTGCGGTAGAGAATTAGACAACCTGTTTGCATGCTAAAAAGTTGTTTTAGGTGTTGAATGGAAGCAGGGGTGTCTTTAGAAGGAATCAAAACAGTCAAGATGGCAGCCCTAACCATTCACATGACACCCACCTAAAAACAGGGATGTGACTTTGATTGCCTGGCTGGGTTGCTATCTTAATTTGTTTTTACGTTTCTGCAAATTCCCCTGAATGCAAGAAACACCTTACCAATGCTTTTGGCATTTGTTGCTTTCAATGTTTCCTTAAGAAGCCATTTAATTTTCCTTTTCTTTATCTTTCCTACAGCTCACTGGTGTTATGACCTACAAAGTTGTGGTAAGCTATGTTTTTTTCTCTGACTCCAGAAATTTTCTCATTGGGGTAACCACAAGACTTGTTACTGGAGAGCCAATGAGATTGGCACACCCAAATGCAACAATGCATTTGGGGCAGGGGTGTCTGATCTTGGCAACTTTAAGATCAGTGGACTTCAACTCCCAGAATTCCGCGGGCAACCATGCTGGCTGGGGAATTTGGGGAGTTGAAGTCTACAGATCTTAAAATTGCCAAGGTTGGACATCCCCAGTCTAGGGGTTTTAAATGGAATCAGTTTAATGTTGGCTGTTATTATAATTAATTTACTGCTTACTTCCTCAACTTTGAAGAAGTTTACATCTCAGTTTTTGTTAAAGGTTAGCATTACAGTGGCATATGTTATATGCTTAATGGTAAAAAGATTATGTTAGTTAAAACCATAGACATTAAAAAAATATTAATTTGTGAAGGGAACAGCAATAATCAGTTTAAAGAAATGAACACACCCACTCTCACGCATCGTTTAAGTGTTGAAAACCTCTCTGTATTCCATATGATGCAGTCACAAGTGTGGCATCTGCCTGTGTACCCTTAGCAATCTCGCTGTTAAAATATGCTGAAACCTGAGGAAGAACTTTGTTGAAGACTACTTATACTTGTGAAACTACTGCACATAATTCAGAACCTTCCAAGAGACTGAACTACAACTGACACAAATATATATCATTATCTATCTCTACCTCTATCTATCTATCTATCTATCTATCTATCTATCTATCTATCTATCTATCTTCTATCAATCTGTGTCAGTTGTAGTTCAGGTGTGCCCCAGGTGTGTAGAAGCTTCACAAGTACAGGTAGCAAATTTTGTTGCTAAGTAAGACTTTTGTTAAGTGAGCTTTACCCCATATTACGACCTTTCTTGCTATAGTGGTTAAATGAATTATTGCAGTGGTTAAGTTAGCAACAGGGTTGTTAAGTAAATCTGGATTCCCCATTGACTTTGCTTGTCAGAAGGTCACAAAAGGGTTTCACATGACACTCCCCCTCCCTGGACATTAACAACCATCATAAATACAGGCCAGTTACCAAGCATCAGAGGTTTGATCATGTGACCATGGGGATGCTGAAATGGTTGTAAGTGTGAAAACTGGTTACTTTTTTTCAGTGCTATTGGTAACTTTGAATGGTCATAAAACAAACTGTTGTAAATGAAGGACTACCTGTATTCCTTTAATGCCAGGCATGGTATGGCATCCTTGCCTTTGGCAGAGTAGACATTCTCTTTTAAAATTTATGCAGCCAAAATATGCACCCACAAACGCACTTCCTTAATAGAAAAGGAATAGCTGCACCTGCAAATAAATAGCTATATCTTAACTAGAATGATTCCTTAATAGAATGTTGTTTTAAAGGAGCTTCAGAGTTTATCTTAGACCATAAAGTCCAACACAAACCTGGTTTGACAAGTCTGAGATATAAAGTATTAAAGGAATCCTTCAAAAAACTTGAGACCAATAAAAGTCAATCATTTTAATTTTTTATATTTTTAGTCAACACTTGGTTTAAAATGTTTAAGAAATAGAATAAATACTTATATAAAAGAAATAATAAGAAAGAGACATGGTGGATAATTAAAATATTAGTTTATAAACTTAATAATTATGATAAAATTTTAAATTAATTGTTTCATTCATTAAATGTATGCATCATCAAATAACTAAAAATCTCTGTCAAACTCTAAACATAATATTAGCACCGGTATCATCATTCTTGGTCATTGTTCAAAATGCAATCTTGTAAAGGAAAAAAAAGAATAATTAAATAAGGAGAAAGATCGGAAGTTGAGTCATGGCAATTGGACTTTTTCACTTTTCCTGTTGGTTAGAAATGTTTTGCTGCTTATTCAAGTGGCTTCTTCAGCCTGAATAAGAAGATTCTACTTGGCTAAGCAGCAAAGATGTTTTTAAACAACAGGAAAAGAAGAGCTATATCTTAACTAGAATGATTCCTTAATAGAATGTTGTTTTAAAGGAGGTTCAGAGTTTATCTTAGATCATAAAGTCCAACACAAACCTGGTTTGGCAATGTCCAGTTGCCATCACTCAACTTCCAGAAAATCCTGTCTGGACGACTGAGAATCTTCATTGACTTGAGGAAAAAAATCAGTAAAAACAACATGAAGTCCTAAAATCCCTTTTTTTGTATCTGGCTGATGATTACATCAAAATACAGGTAACCCTCAATCACAACTGAGCCCAAAGTTTCTGTTGTTAAGCAAGGCAAATGCTAAATGAGTTTCACCCCTTTTTATGATCTTTCTTGCCAGAGTTGTTACTGATCGATTAAATCACTGCAGTTGTTAAGTTGGTAACATGGCTGTTAAATGACTTTGCTGTCCAGAAGGTTACAAAGAGGGATTCATTGACCCTGGGACACTGCAACTGTCACAAATAGGAGTCAGTTGCCAAATGCCTGGATTTTGATCATGTGACCGTGGAGATGCTGCAAAGGTCATAACTGTGAAAATGGCCATAAGTCACTTTTTTCAGTGCCATTTTTTTAACTTTGAACAGTCATTAAACAAATAGCTGTAAGTCGAGACTACCAGTATTTATAACCACTGAAATGGCTTCTAATTTTTACACATACTTGTGTACTATTTCGTTGATTGAGAGTATCTCTAATGAAACCCAGTCTTTGTTCCTGATAACCTCCATGTCCGAAAAAAATCTGCCCCTGAAATTTACAAAAAAAACAAAAACAAAAAACAAACCCAATCCTTTCATCCAGACTACTAAAGAGACTTATTTTTGTTATTTATTTGTTTGTTTGTTCAACGAATATATACAGCTAGTCCTTGACTCATAACCATTTGTTCAGTGACTGTTCAAAGTTACAACAGCACTGAAAAAGTGATTAAGGATTGTTTTTCATCTGTACAGTGGTTGTAGCATCCTCACGGTCACATGATCAAAATTCAGATGCTTGGCAACTAGCTCCTATTTATGACGGTTGCAGTGTCCGTGGGGTCATGTGGTTCCTTTTGGAGACCTTCTCACAAAGAAAGTCAATGGGGAAGCCAGATTCACTGAACAACTACAGCAATTTACTTAACAACTGGAACAAGAAAGATGGTAAAATGGGGCAGAACTCACTTTACAATTGTGCTGCTTAACAACAAAAAATTTGGGCTCAAATGTGGTCATAAGTGGAGGACTACCTTGTATAGCTGCCCAACTCATAGATAAGTGACTCTGGGTGGCCTACCAAATTTAAAAACTCCACCACATAATAGTTACCAATGAATTTCCCCTCCCCACCCCCATGGCAGCAACAACACAATCAAATCAGCCAGTTGATCAGCTCCATTTCAGTTGGTGGTTTCCAGGCTAGCTGACAAAACCATGTTTTTAGGGACTTTCAGAAAAGCAGACGGTGAGGGCCAACCGTACCTCAGAGGGAACGATGTTCCATCACAAAGAGGCCACCACTGTAAAGGCTCTTTCTGTGGTCCCACCAGATCAGAATCAGAAAAGAGCTGGAATTGACTTGGGAGGTCTTCTAGTCCAGCCCTCTGCTTGAGCAGAAGACACCATTTCAGACAAGGGACTGTGCAGTCTCTTCTTAAAAACCTCCAGTGATAAAGCACGCACAATGTCTGAAGGCCAGCTGTTCCACGGGTTAATTTTCCTCACTGTGAGGAAGTTTCTCCTTAACTCCAGGTTGCTTCTCTCCTTGATTAGTTTCCATCCGTTGTTTCTTGTCCTGCCCTCAGGGGCTTTGGAAAATAAGTTGACTGTCTGTGTGGCAGCCCCTCAAGTATTGGAACACTGCTATCTGGTCCCCACTACTCCTCTTCTCTAGGCTAGCCAAACCCAAATCCTGCAACCTTTCTTCATATGTCTTAGTCTCCAGGCCTTTAATCATCTTAGTTGCTCTTCTCTGCACATTTTCCAAAGTCTCAACATCTTTTTTGTAATGCAGTCACCAAAACTAGATGCAGTATTCCAGGTGTGGTCTTACTAAGGCTTTACAAAGCAGTACTAATACTTCCGGTGATTTTGATTCTGTCCCTATGTTTATACGACCAAGGACTGTATTCACTTTTTTGGCTGCTGCTGCACACTGCTGGCTCATATTTGGACTCCAAGGTCCCTCTCACAGTTACTGTTTTTGAGCCAGGTTTTCTCGTAATATATACTTGTACCTTTGGTTTTTCCTGCCCAGGTGTAAAACCTTGCTTTTCTCTGCATTAAATTTCATTTTGTTGCATAAGGCCCATTGTTCAAGTCTGTCAAGGTCTTTTTGGATCCTGAGCTTGTCTTCTGGGATGTTGGCTGCTCCTGCCAGCTTAGTGTCATCTGCAAATTTGATGATTTCCTAATGACAATTCCTAATCGATAGGGCCTGGTGGGCTGTGTGAGTGAAATAAGATAGAAGTGGTCCTGGCCCCAAGCCATGTAGGGCTTTAAAGTTGAAAACTGACACCCTGAAATTTACCTGGAAACTGACTGAGTAAATACATGCACAGATACATACACCTATTTGCCAAATTTTGGAAAAGTGTTCTGTTTGCAAAAAGAAAAAAAATGAAAGCCTACATTATTATATGATGAATCTCCTTATTCTTTTTCTGCTAGGACCTAGCACCTGGGGGCCTATTGGCTCCTGTAATGGCAAGAAACAATCTCCCATCAACATCGACACCAGTACAGTCATAACTGATTCTCCTCCCGGACCTATACATTTCTTCTACTATGAAGACCTTAAAATCGCCACGAAACTAGAGAATACAGGGTATCAGCGTAAGTATTCATTGATGACCGTCTATTGCTAAATGCATAAGAAATTCACTTGGAAGAATACTTTCAACACCAATGGTTCATAGCCTTGACAATTTCCAGATGGGTGGACTTCAACTCCCAGAATTCTCAGCAATGGCCCTGCTGGCTGTGGAATTTTGGGAATCCAGGCCTAGATATCTGGCAATTGGAAAGGTTGAAAAAACCTTGTGGTACATCACAGTGATATATATTGCTAGCTATAGCAGTTCAGCTGGGTTGCAATGGGTACATGATCCCATAAAGCTCAGGAATCTAGTTTGGTTTTTCAAATGGGCATAATTGCTTCTATTCAGGCTAAGCTTACTGCATGGTCCCTGTTCTGTCAGGCCACATGGTTAGGTATGATTCATCCAGGCGTAGCAGAAAGAATTTTTGGTAGGCAGCAGTAAGCTGCAGTTTGCGCTACAAACCCAGTTTGAGTGAAACTGAGTCATGCAACCTGTGGCTCCCTCAATTCCATCCAGACCTTAATTTTTGTTTTGGGGAAATAGTAATGTAGTACCTCCTTATTGTCACGTGAACTCTAGATTCACAGGAGATGGAATAAAATCAACCCTTCTCCCTGGATATTCCTCTCCCCAAAACTGACCACATCTTCTAGCCATTTATCCAAATCCGTGATTTGGCTGTGACCCTAGTCTTCCTAAAATATGGAGTACTTGTCCCAGATATTGCCCAGATGTGGGTTGAAGGAATGATACTGTATGATCTGCACAGTTGTGGCCTGAAAGAATACACTGTAAGGGTCTCACATGCTCAGTTGACCTTGGCAACATTCAGTTGGAAATCACTAAGTCATTATTTTTCAATCATGGCAACATTAAGATGTGTGGACTTCAGTTCCCAGAGTTCCCCAGCCAGCATGGGAATTGGAGAACACATTACTTTCTGGCTGGGAAAATACATAAATGAAAGCTCAGTCATCCAGGTCAAAAGAATATAAAAAGGTTAAATTATGGCAGTTGAGCCAAGGCTGGGAAATTCTGGGAGTTGAAGTCCACACATTTTAACATCACCTCAAGATTCAGGGTTTCCTGTTTGAGCAAGAGGTTGGACTAGAATGCACTTGAAGATCTCCAAACACTCCCTTCCAACACTATTATTCTGTTACTGCTCTAAGAAGAAAGGTAGGTCAGGGGACATCCTGAGGGACAATATACGGAATAAACCGAAATCTTTCCTACCCCTTTTGATTTGAGTTTAGAGACAGGAGGAGCAGAAGGCTCTTAGGGCAATGATCCTCTTTTCCCTTGCTGATTGCAATCTATTGATCTGAGGGATCCTATCTTGCATAGTTCCATCTCTTCATCTGCATGATTGGATTCAATTTCTTGCAGTCTTATTAGTAGATGCTACTCAGATGTGACAGGAAGGGGGAGGAGTGAGGGAGAGGGGTGGGGAGAGAGAGAGAGATTTTGAGACTTGTGAATGGCATATTGTGTATTTCTCCTGTCTTGCTGGGTTTATGAACTGGGATGGTCCAATTAATTGGGTGTGTGTAATGGGAATTGTGAAATTAGGTGCTGATGTGGGAATCAGGTCACAATTCTTCATTGCTTTGAACCTGATTGTTGTTTATTGCAAATTCAGGAGTTGCAAAAAGGGCTCCTAACAAAGTTTAAATCATGAACATCCTGTGATGTACACAGCTAAGTTTGAGAGTTAAGAGTCCTTCCTTCCTTCCTTCCTTCCTTCCTTCCTTCCTTCCTTCCTTCCTATCCCATCTTTATTATTTTTACAACTAACTCAAGGTTGCAAACATATCCAACACACCATCTTTCTCCTATTTACCCATACAACAACCCTGTGAGGTATGTTGGCCTGAGAGTGAGTGTCTGGTCCAAGTCACCCAGCTGGTTTTCATGGCTAAGGCTGAACTAGAACTCATAGTCTCCTGCTTTCTACTGGGCAACTGTATTTCTAGACCAGTTTGTCTTTATTTATCCCAACATAAAAATGAAAGTTAGCTTAGAAGAAGCTGAACAAGTGGACACATAGTCACAGTGGATTAAATACCATCTCAGTGGATTAAATACCATCTCTTTTCTTGCCATATTTTCTCTTCTTTGCATTGTAGGGGAATTCTCGGAGTCTATTAAACAAAGGTGAAACTGCCATACATGGAAAACGGCAAACAGACGGACTTTTACCTGTTAAGAGAGGCCTTAGTCCTTCACTTAAGGAGCCCAAGACAAAGATGTTGAGACAGAATAACTAATAAATTGCCAAACTGCCAATCCTTAGTAAATGCATTGAGGCAGGGTTTCTGTGTACAATCAACAGACTCAATAATTCCTCTGTAGAACTCATCATTGCTCTTAATTTTGTTTTTCTCTGTTGCAGTTAAGATAAATTTTCATCCCAAAGCAAGAATCTTTTCTGACGACTTTCCAGCATTTTATTTCCTGCACCAGGTCCACTTTCATTGGGGCACTGAAAATACAAATGGTGCGGAGCATACAATTGATGGCAAACGCTATGCCATGGAGGTAATCAATTCAGGGGGCCAGCAAAAATGGAATTACTAAGTGATGAATGTTTGGCTTGATGTTACGAGAATACAGGTAGTTTTCAATTTATAACCACAATTGGAAGACGAGATTGTTAAGACGAGGTCTACCTGTATTGTTACACTCTGTATAAAATATCGGTGCTCATGTTCCTTCTCCATTTTTGCACCAGATGCACTTGGTTCATACTAAAAACAACATGAGTATAGAAGACGCATCGAAGGAGTCTGATGGATTGGTTGTCCTAGCATTCTTCGTACAGGTGAGCAGCGCGAATGGTTGGCCAAGAGAAAAGCCATTCCAAGGCTTATTGGTTCAGGATCAATCTCTTCATCAATGATTTGGATGAAGAGATAGATGGGGAACTCATCAAATTTGCAGACAACACCAACTTGGCAGGAATAACCAGCACTCTGGAAGATAGGCTTAGGATACAGAAGGATCTTGACAGACTTGAACATTGGGTGCTATCTAACAAAATGAAATTCAGTGGTGAAAAAAGTAAGATTCTACATTTAGGCAAGAAAAACAAAATGCCCAGGTACAGAGTATGTTGTACCTCACTCAATAGTGGTAACTTAAGAGAGATCTTGGAGTCCTAGTGGAAATCACTTAAATACGAGCCAGCAGTGTGCTGCCAAAAAAGCCAACACAGTTCTAGGCTGCATTAACAGAGGGATAGAGTCAAGATCGCATGAAGTGTTGATCCCACTTTATAATGCCTTAGTAAGACCACACCTGGAATACTGCATCCAGTTTTGGTTGCCACGATGTAAAAAAGACGTTGAGACTCTAGAAAGAGAGAAGAGCAACAAAGATTATAAGGGGACTGGAGGCTAAAACATTTGATGAATGGGTTACAGGAACTGGGCATGGCTAGTCTAGTGAAGAGAAGGACCAGAAGAGACATGGTAGCCGTGTTCCAGTATCTCAGGGGTTGCCACAAGGAAGAAGACAAGAAGCAATGGGTGGAAACTAACCAAGAAAAGAAGCAACCTAGAACTCAGGAGAAATTTCCTGTCAGAACAAGTAATCAGTGGAACAACTTTCCTACAGAAGTTGTGAGTGCTCCAACTCTGGAAGTTTTTAAGAAGACATTGGATACCACTTGTCTGAAATGTTATAGGGTTTCTTGCCTGAGCAGGGGGTTGGACTAGAAGACCTCCAAGGTCCCTTCCAACTCTATTATTCTAAGTTTCAATGAGTCTGTCTGTTCTTTGGGCTGCCTATGGAGGTGGCCTCCAAATGCAATGGGGATTTTATACTTTCAGAGAGAATTCTACATAATTTTCTAGTATGTTAATTTGGATGGGCTCCTAGTTACTGTCTCTGCTGCCCACCGTGACTTAAAAGCTTTCATAGAACTTGCTTGAGTGATGTAAAGAAGATGTAGGTACCAGCTTTAGTGTTCTCATATTTATATTACGTTCTCTACTAATAGAAAGGATTGTGTGGGTTAACTTGGACACCCTTATAATACATGGGCCACCTCTGCCAGATAATCCAGGCAAGAAGCTAGCCATGAGTACAACCTCTCTGCTTATTGTAAGGTTGCGTTAACAGAATCTTGCCAGGTAGAACGTATGGCTCTCCTTCTCCCCTTTTACTCTCTGGAAAACTAGGGAAGGTCTTTTTCGAAAAGCTTCCTATGTCCTCCGTCCTTCCAAGGGTTGAGCTATCTTTGACATGATGCTTGTCCAATGCCTGGCTCTCTCTTCTGTTTCCCAAGGTCATCCTCACCTTACAGGTTATCCTCAAGTTACGGCCACAATGGAGCCCCTAAATCTCCACTGCTAAGCAAGACAGTGTTAAGTGAGCCACACCTCAGTTTATGGTTGTTGAGCAAATTACTGCAGTCGTTACGTGAATCATGCGGTCATTAAACAAGTCTGGCTTCCCCCTGGGACTTTGCTTGTCAGAAGCCAGCTGGGAAGGTTGCAGATGGTGATCACATGACCCTAAATACATGCCAGTTGCCAAGCACCTAAATTTTGATCACATGACCATGGGCATGCTGCGATGGTTATAAGTGTGAGGATTGGTCCTAAGTCACTTTTTTCAGTGGCATTGCCAGTATGTAAGATGTTTAGCATATAGGGTCTCCTGCTTGAGCGGGGGTTGGACTAGCAGATTTCCACGGTCCATATCCAGCTCTATTCTGATTGGTTGATTGGTCAGTAAATGAATGGTCATAAGTCCGAGGCTATAAGTAGACATAAATGCAACTGTAGCCCGCTTTTGCCCCAGGCATGTTCACGCTCTCTTCTCTGTAAGCCAGCATCTCTCATTTAGAGACTATTTGGCAAACTAAGCCACTACAGGTGGTCCTTGACTTACAACAGTCCATTTAGTGGCCATTCAAAGTTGCAACGGCACCAAAAAAAAGTGACTTATGACTGTGTTTCACAGTTACGACCTTTCCAGCATCCCCAGGATCACGTGATCATAATTCAGACCCTTGGCAACAGGTTCATATTTAGGACCGTTGCTGTGTCCCGGGGTCATGGGATCCCCTTTTGCGACCTTGTGGGGAAGCCAGATTCATTTCACAACCGAGTCATTAACTTAATCACCTGCAGCTTAACAACTGAGGCAATAAAGGTTGCAAAAAAAAAAACTTGACAACTTGACTCACTTAACAACATAAATTTTGGGCTCAATTGTGGTCATAAGTCAAAGCCTACCTGTATTCCCTGCTCCCAGGAACTATGTTGTAGCTACAGCTTATTGGTATATGCCCAGGAGACCATATACTGTTTTCTCTCAACTTCCCATAGAAAACCGAAAGGATTAACCAAGTCAATGGATGGAACACTCTAGCCAGATTTCTCAAGGACATCCCAGAGAAAGGTGTGTCTTACATTCAACCCTCCTCCCCTCCCAACTTCCCTAAAATAAAAATGAGGCGATGTTATACCTGTCTGCTTTTTTTTTTTTTCCAGGTAACTCTAAGGATCTGAATGGGGAATTCAATTTGGGTAGTTTATTGAGAACAGCAGACGTAAACCACTATTTCCACTACCATGGATCTCTCACTACTCCACCATGTGCTGAGTCTGTGATATGGATTGTCTTTCAATTCCCCCTTGAGATTTCTTCCCAACTGGTGAGTGGATAAGATCTGATTCCTCTCCGTTTGCAGGAATGGATTCTAAGGTTCTCTGAAAATAGATTGGCCCTTCGTTATTTATGTATTTATTTAGCGTATGGCATATGTTAGCCAGGGATCCCCCAAGTGGCTGCTGACCGTTGCAACTTTGAACACACACTAAATGAACTGTTGTAAATCGAGGACTACTTGTCTAAACAAACACTGTAGATCTAGTTTTGCATTTAGAGTTGGCCCTATCAAGAGGCAAATAAGATAGCAATAGCACGTAGACTTATAGACCGCTTCATAGTGCTTTACAGCCCTCTCAAAGCGGTTTACAGAGTCAGCCTGTTGCGCCCAACAATTTTGGATCCTCATTTTACCCACCTCGGAAGGATGGAAGGCTGGGTCAACCTTGAGCCTGGTGGGATTCGATCTGCCAAATTGCAGTGGGAGTAGCTTGCAGTACTGCACTCTAACCACTGTGCCACCAAGGCTCTCTAAGATGTAGCATCAAGTGACAGATATGAATGGAGGTGGAGGGTGGGGGGCAGGGAAGCATTGAAGGAGGCCCAGGTAGCCTCCAAGTTATGATAAGTTATTTTATGACAGTTCAAAGTGACGATGGCCTCTGAAAAGTGCTTTATGGCTTATGAAGCACTTCCAAGCATCGTAAAATGTTGCAAAACAACCACTCTCCCATCCCCTAAAGATCACGTGACTCCATTTCAAGGGCGTGTCAACTGCTCCTTTAGTGGTGCCGTCACACGACCCCCGATTTGTGATGTTTTTGCTAGTTTATGGCAAAAACTGCCCACTCAGGAGAATGGATTTGCTTAATGACGGCGGTCCGGTCACATAGATGCCTTGAATTTTGTCTGCAATGACTTATGACCAGAATCCCAGCCCTAGTTGTGAACCTACGTTGAGGGCCACCTGGAGCTTTATATATAGGGAGTCCTCCATTTACAACTACAATTGAGCCCAAAATGTAGGTATTCGCCCCATTTTATAACTTTTCTAGCCGCAATTGTTATGTGAATCATTGCAATTGTTAAATTAGTAACATGGTTGTTAAATGAATCACTGCAGTTATTAGGCTACTAACTGTTCAAGGAATGTGGCTTCCCCGTTGACTTTGCTTGTCAGAAGGTCACGAAAGGGGATCGCAGGACTCCTGGGACACTGAAACCATCATAAATATGAACCAGTTGTCAAGCGTCTGAATTCTGATCATGCGGCCATTGGGACGCTCAGTGCAGTAGTCGTAAGGGTTAAAAATGGTTTCATAAGTCACTTTTTTTCAGTGGCGTTGTAGCTTTGAACGGTCACTAAGTGAACTTTTGTAAGTCAGGGACTACCTATATATTTAAGTCAGCTGAGATGGAATCACATTATGACCGTTTTTCACCCTTACGGCCATTGCAGTATCCCCAGTGTCCTGTCATCAAAATTCAGGCCCTTGGCAACTGGTTCGTATTTTTGATGGTTGCAGTGTCCCCCTGGGGTCACATGATCCCCTTTTACAACCTTCTGACACACGAAGTCAATGGGGAAGCCAGATTCACTGAACACCTGTGTGAGTAAGGATTCCCTTAGTAACTATGTACACTGAACAACTGCAGGGATTCCCTTAACAACTAGGTCCAAAAAAAAGTTCATAAAAATCAGGCAAAGTTCACTTAACAGCCGCCTTGCTTAGTAACAGAAATTCTGGTCTTAGTTTTGGTTGTAGGTTGAGGACTTCCCTGCCTCCACATTTCCTGCCTGAAATGGCAGGAAATTGACCAGTTGTAATTGGAGGAAATAGAAGGTGAAAGTCAGGTATCCATACTTAAGACATTAAATATCTGAGTTCTGGATGGATGAAGTAACTTTTTACTTTTTGCTATCTCCTCTCTTCTCCTTCCTCTCCACCACTGATTTTTTTCTCCTCTCTTCTTCCAGCATAAAGAATTTACAACTTCACTATATTTTACCACCATTCAAGAGAATAGAAAAATGCAGGACAATTTCCGTCCTCTGCAGGCCTTAAATGGACGAAGTGTCTACTACAGCTATTACAGCACAGCACGTAAACCATTTTTGGGGTGCCTGGCACACTGCGTTGGCAAACAGTTTTGAAGAGGATTTCAAATTCTCTTGAACAGGACCTGGTCTTCAGGCCTTGAATGTTGTGAGTCTAATTTTGCACAACATTAAATGAACGGAGTAATATCCATAAAATGTTTGTTGTGGTTTTTCCACTAAGCTTGTATTTATTACTTTATATACTCGGTAGATACAAACTCGCATCATCTCAGACACACACAAAAACTCTTATCATGAGACTTAATAGGAACAGAAAATAAATAATTTTGAAAAGAGGTGGCACGCATTGCTATGCTATGGGAAAAATAAAATACACAATTATTTCTGAAGACATTACATTAGAAATGCTCTGTATGGGTAAAAATTAAGGAAAAACACTGTTTGAAAATACCAGTCTGGATCTCTATGATGGAGGCATTGATACATCCAATTGTGGTTGAAAAAAATCATAAGATATAAAGATATTTTGAATGAGAAAGGGGAATTGAAAAGTAAACAAACTGAATAGTCAAGGGATAGATTTAGCATGGTGGTCGCAGGTACAAATACAATCAAAATATGAAAAAGATGCTAAATTATATGGTTTTATAAAGAACCAACAGAATTGGACCAAATTCTAACAGGAACTGATGAGAAATTAATTTTAAAAAATGTATACCTACCTACTGAGTACTAGAGTGGAAGAAGAGCAAGTAAAGGAAACAATGATAGTGTGGGCTAAAAACTTTGGTTATTCTATAGAATTAGATAAATAGCAAAAGTTGTGGGATCGAAATGATAAATTAACAATGTTTCCTGCATGCAAAGAAAATTTATATAAAATGTTTTACAGAGGGCACTTCCTCCAGCAAGATTAGCCAAGATGTTTAAAGATATCTCAGCTAAATGTTGGAAGTGTAATCAGACTCCAGGCTTGTACTACCACATGTGGTGGGCGTGCCCAAAAGCAAAAACATACCGGACAAAAACACATACTTGGATAGAAAAAATGGTAAAGAAACATATAGATTTAAAACCAGAAATATTTCTGTTGGGTATCATACAAGAAAAATATAATAAAGGGACTATGTATCTAACATTACATGTGTTAATAGTGACCAAAATTGTATTTGCCCAACATTGGAAAAGTGTGGAGATCCCTACAGAAGAGAAGATAATAATAACAAAAGCCACTGGAATGTGCAGAAATGGATCTTGGATTCCTTGCATAATCATCTGTAGAGTGACTTTTTCTTGTTCTTTATCTTGCTTTAACATTGTCTGAATTAAATGTTGTCCTCCAGATGGTGGGGAGGCAGAAGTAGAGGTAGAGACGCCAGAAGGTATGAGCTTCCTACTCATTTTGAACAATTCAGGACCTTCAAGTTCTTTTAGACTTTAATCCAATTGGTAAGGTAGCCAGTTATTATCCAAAATGAAAAATAAAAATAGTAGAAAGTAAAAAGCCCAATGGTAAAAAGCCCAATAGTAGTAAAGGAAAAAGGAAAAGAAGGAAAATTCTTCAGGTTCTTCTGGACCCTAATCCAATTATGAAATAGTCAATTATAATCTACAATAAAGAATAAAAATAGGAAGGAGGAAAAAGCCCAATAATAATAAGAAAAAAAAAGAAAAGAAAAGTTTCTTCAGGTTCTTCACACCTTAATCCAATTGAGAAATCTCAATAATAAAAAGAAACCAAAATAGACCAAGAACATAAATGGAAGAGGAGAAATCCCAATGAAAAAAAGGGGGAAAAAAGAAAAATTCTGAGGCTTTCCCTTTAAAATAAAAAGCAAAAATAAAAATATTGCAAAAATAAAGTTTACAGTAAAGCTGGTAAGGAGGGGTAACACAACTAAAAGAAAATAGAAGAAAGCACACTGCGCTTTATTTAATTATCCAAGGCTCTTATTATGACTCTCTTCTCCACAAACTTCAAAGCCAAGCTTCAAGTGTTAGATTGTTGATAGAAGTCCAGAAGAACACCTGTAATAATATTCTGCCGCGCTCTTCCCTCTATCTTATCAAGTTGAAATGTCCTTGAGAAGGAGTCTTTCACAGTTCTCTCCACTTCAAGTAAAATATTTTCAAGCCTCTAATTGGCAATGTTGCAAAGTTTCTTTGTTCTCATTTTGAAAAAGGGACATTTCTTCCTTGAGCTGTTGTCTCAAATTCTTTTACTACAAATTATATATTAAAATCACCTGAAATATTAGCACCCCTTTATAAAGCCTTAGTAAAGCCCCACTTGGAATACTGCATACAATTTTGGTCACCACACTACAAAAAAAAAAAATGTTGAGACTTTGGAAAAAAAAGTGCAAAGAAGAGCAACTAAGATGATTAAAGGCTTGGCGAATAAAATATGAAGAACGGTTGCAAGTCTGGCTAGTCTAGAGAAAAGAAGGACTAGGGGGGACATGATTGCAGTATAGCAGTATTTGAGAGGTTGCCAGCAAGAGGAGGGGGACAACTTATTTATCAAAGTACCAGAAGGGCAGATAAGAAACAATAGATGGAAACTAATCAAGGAAAGAAGCAAGCTGAAATTAAGGAGGAAACTTCCTAACAGGACAATTAGCCAGCTTGCTGTTAGAAGTTGTAGGTGCTTCATCACTGGAGGTTTTTAAGAAAAGATTGGACAATCATTTGTCTGAAATGGTATAGGGTCTCCTGCTTGAACAGGGGGCTGGACTAGAAGACCTCCAAGGTCCCTTCCAGCTCTATTCTGATATAACCAGACTACATACATTCTGATATAACCAGGCTACATACATTCACAGACCCAACCTAATGAGCTGATTGCTGAATACATTCATCTTGTAAGGACTCAATTGGACGTTGCAGTTAGTCCTTGACTTTAGCGATGGTTTTGAATTACAACGGCACTGAGAAAAATAACTTATGACCATTCCTCCCACTGAAGTCTGTCTTGTAGCATCCCCAGGGTTGGTGGTAAAAATTCAAGCACTTGGAAACCAGCGTGAATTTATGACGGTTGGAGTGTCCCACGGTCATCACCATTTGCAACCTTCCCAACTGGCCTCTGACATGTAAAGTTAATGGGGGAATCTAGATTCACTTAACAAATGCAGTGATTTACTTAACAACCATCATGGCAAAAAAAGGTTGCATTTTTGGGCATGACTTGCTTTAACAACCCGGTTGCTTAGCAATGGAAATTCTGGTGTGAACTATGATCATTAATCAAGGACTAGCTGTACATTTGTTACAGGTTGTTGTTGCATTGTTTTGTTTTGTTTTTTGGGGTTTTCTTGTGAAAAAAATAGCCTGTGGCATGAAGGGCTATAGGTTAAGATTGTGGCATTAAGAGAGAGAAGTCCTCATTTCTTTGTTCCCATCACTGTCCCGATCTGAATTACTGCCTTCTCCCGCATTTAATTATTTCAAAACAACAGTAAAAATTATCCCTACGCGACAATCACCATCTAACTTGGCAAGGTCACATTTTATTCCTAAGATCCCGATGAAATTATTTTCATTTTGTGAATCCCTGAGGAGAGTAACATTCTTAAAAACTTCCACATAAAAAGGCGTGTTTTTTTTTTCACTCCTCCGAAGAGCAGCATGTGGAAGTAAATTATACATTGGCTTCGGTTTTAGTTATATTTTCTTCAGTTCGCAACTTCAGCTTTACAGCAAAAAGAAGCTAGTTCTGGAATCAAGATGGAAAGTTAGTTATTGGGTGATAATTCCCTCCCCTTGTTATTCAGGGAAGATCTTGGCCTGCTGTTCTGCAAACCTATTATTGTCTATTGTCCAATAACAGGAGAATCAAGCTGAGGCTTTAACAGGCTTTTGTATTTTGATTGCTCTCTATACTGGGGTGTCAAACTCAAGGCCTGAGGGTTAGATCTGGCCTGCAGGGTGCTTAGATTTGGCCCGTGGCGCTACCATGGAAACAGTGAAGGACCGGCATGCGGGGCCTCTGCCAGCGAAAACAGAGCTACTTTTTTGCTGGCAGAGAGTTGCAGGAGGCCGTCGCAACCAAAAATGGAGCATGGGGAGCCATTTTTGCAGGCAGAGTACTCGAGCCACCATAGGCGCCCCCAACATGTGTGATGTCAAGCTAGCCAGGCCCACCTTGGTAACGCCCACCCTGGCTCCCTGAAGTCAAACCCAACCCTGATGCGGCCCTCAATGAAATCAAGTTTGACACCCCTGCTCTACACTTTGGGGCTCATCCTGCTTGCCCAAGGAGAGGATCCCCCTTTAACCGTGTCTAGAGGATAGTGACATTCAAACATAAATTCTCCATTCGACTCCAGCCTCTGGCGAAAGCAATTTCTGCCTTACTTGACTTGCTCCAGATCAAAGCTAGTGTTTTTGCTACCTCTGCCAGCACAAACCTGGTACCCTGAGGTCTGCCAGCTGAGCCACCCTGACTTGCTGGCAAGCACCTCAGTTCTGCATCATGGCAGGAACATATCCTTCCTTCTGGTCAGACCCCCCGGTGGCCATTTTATCCCGGGCTGAACATCTTTCTTTGTTTACAACCAATCTGCCTAATTATTTATTTATTTATTTATTTATTTAAGTTTGTCGAGCATGTATGAGAAAACAAGTGTAAGTATGAACATAACATATAAACATATAAGTATAAACTGATATAAGTATGTGCATAATAAATGAGTATGACTAAATGGGAACAGTAGGACAGGGACGGCAGGCACGCTGGTGCGTTTATGCATGGCCCCTTACAGACCTCTTAGGAATGGAGTGAGGTCCCTGGTAGACAACTTATAGTTAAAGTTTTGTGGGTAGGTTGAGGATGTAACAACAGAGTTGGATAGGCATTGAACACTCTTGTTGCTGAAGTCGTATTTTCTGCAATCGAGTTTGGAGTGGTTTATTTTGAGTTTGTATCTATTGTTTGCCTGTGGGTTATTGTGGTTGAAGCTGAAATACTCATTGACAGGTAGAATGTTGTAGCAGACAATTTTGTGCACTAAACTTGTCAGACTGTAGGCAGCGTCGTTCTAACTTGTCCAAGTCCAAAATTTCAAGCCTGGTGGCATAAAATATTTTATTGCGAGCTGAGGAATGGAATACTCTTCTTGTGAAATACCTCAGGATTCGCTCAATCGCATTAATGTCTGTTATACACTGTGGATACCAGGCAGATGAGCTGTATTCGAGAATTGGTCTGGCAAAGGTTTTGTATGCCTTAGCTTGCAGTTCAATGTTACTGGAGAAGAAGCTTTGGAAATTAGGTTAACAACTCTTAATGCCTTTT